TCCTTTCCTTTGTTAAATCCTTTTGTGCAGTGAAACTTTTGTCCATATGATGCCGAGGAATCATCTTGAGGTTTAAATTTTCCTAATCTATAGTCTCTTCCAGTAGACTGCCCATCGCTCAAACCATGTCTAGAATTTGAGAAAGGAAAATACTGACAAAAAATTGCTCATATTTCCACCATAACTTATGATGGGGAAAGAAAATAAAACAAAGCGCTCAGGCATATGTAAGTAATTCTCTATTTAAGTAGCTTTATATTTCATTACTTCTCTTTGCTTGTTTGTAAATTCTTTTTCTTTGTTAATATTGCTAAGCAGCACAAAGTGTCAGTATGACCAATCGCTTTGCTCTATCAAAACTGACGTGTTGTCAAACTTAGACTAGGTCATTATTTTGTTATAGCTCAGATTGGAACTAAGCTATACATATTATACATTTTATAAAACTTGATTTGCTACGAGTAATTCTTTCTCTACTGTGGATTAGCCAACATTTATTTGTTCTAACAAACTCTTTTGCTTAAAGATTTTCACTTGATTGCACCACTTCCAGATTTACGTTCCAACGTATTGTATAAGGTAAAATATGCTATGCTAAGTGGCTGCATAAGAGAGTGACACGTGGAGCCGAAGGTAGAGGATAGTTAAAATCGAAGACAACTGTTCCATTTATCACCAAAAAGAATAACACTCATAAAGATGTAATAAATTTCTGCCACCTGGTAGTATTTAATGAAGAATATTCTACAACATTTAGTACACTGCCCGTTACAAAGAATTTGTCATTTATGCTCACCGTTACACATTCTTCAATGGCCCTCATAATTAACATTAAAGAAGGGCATGATCCTAGAACCTTGTTCTCTAGGCGCAACTATAAATAATGAGCTCTATTATCATTGTAAGACACACGGATTTTCTGGCAAGCTCACGCTATAATCAATTCAAAGCTTTATACAATTTTATCTTCTTATTCCTCTATTTCATTATTGTTGTGACCTGAAGCCCTTCTCCCGGAATTACTGTGTCTGCTATTTTGTCTTCATTTCAAGGCTAAGTATTGCGTATTTCTTCAATTATTTTATTATTTTAGAATCGAATTAATTCACTTGCCTAGAATTTATGTATAAATTCAACTATACCGTTTTACGAGTAAACAGTTTGGTGACCATCGTGGGACCTAGACAGCCGTGTAATTAAGTTTATCCTTGCCTATTTTACTAACATGTTTTGATTATTTATCTTAGCAATTTTTTTTTTTAAAATGGCAGATAATGGTGTTAACAACACACATAATCTTGAGGCCTAAGGAGACCAGCCTCATCACCAGGATTCAGTAAATAACACCTGCATTGAGGGAAACGATGCTACGCCGGTCCACAACAGGCGGTACCTGCGACATATTTGGGAGGCAACTCCCCATGATGCTGAAGAGGATCATGTTGTTGAAGCGGTGAGGGTCCTGCAAGAGAAACAAACGGTCATTCTAGGCCATCTCACATGGTAGGATAAGCTTATGACGGAGTTGATACAGGCGTTATCGGGGGCTTCCAATAACGCGAATGGACGAGGTCCAGTTCCTCCCAGTGCTCCCGCAAATCAAACAATGCAGAGGGTCGACAACAAATCTTCAAGGAGAGTGAAGTGAAGGCCCTCCTCAAAAGGAAAGAGGGACGAGCGAAACGACTTCGGTATCGGTAAGTATTCCCTCGCCGGGCTCAGTTTGGGCTTTTTAGTCTCGCTACCTTTAATTGCATGAGATAAGGAAAACAAGATAAGATCAAACCGGTAAGCTCCAATACATAACTCCTTAGTACGTCAGCGGCTATCAAGATCGCTTTGTTAAGCAGTGACCTTAAAAACCGAGAGTATTCTAAAACTCTCTGCCACACACTAAATAAACACACCGATGGGCGAGGTTGGCTCTGATGGGGCTAGGGGGAGCAGATCCGGACCCAACAACGAGAACGATCCCTTCAAGAGCAAACTCTTACGGTTTATGAGGGAAGTGAACGCCCACACGGATAAAATTCCGGGTGCACCACCGGTGCTGAAAGGGCCGGACTCAAAAAAGTATACTCAGTTGCCGTACAAACCAAGATCGGCACCAGAATTAATCCCGAAAATATTTCAAATGCCCGACGTGCCGAAGTATGATGGAACTTCAGACCCTCAGGACATACTATACAATGGCGATGAAGGGGAACGATTTAGCTCCCCAAGAGATTGAATCTGTTTTGCTGAAAAAATTCGGAGAGACTTGCACGAAGGAGCCTTGTCATAGTATTCGCTTTTACCCGAGCATTCCATAGATTCCTTTGAGATGCTCGTGAATTCTTTTATTAAGTCCCATACCAGGGCCAGAAAGGTGCAGGCAAGAAAGTCGACATATTCAGAATTGCACAAGGAGAGTCCGAGTTGCTGCACGAATTCGTCACCCAGTTCCAAAAAGAAAGGATGGTGCTCCTGGCTGTTCCGGATGAATGGGCGGCTGAAGAATTCACCAAGGGTTTGAATTCGAGAAGCTCTAACGCTTCTCGAAAATTGAAGAAAAGCTTGCTTAAGTTCCAAGTGAAGACTTGGGCAGATGTCCACATGAATTTCACATAACACATAGGTCAAAGGTTCATAATTTCCTCAAATCAAGGTTAAACCCGACACTTACCTCACTCCGCAATCAATTCAAAGTTCAACTACGGCCTTTCCTTTCGAACAAGCCTCCAAACCAACCAAATATCACAAATTATTGACCAAACGATTTAAAATAAGCTTTAGAAACTACTCATGAATAAAAGGGATTCAATTTAGGTTATTATTGAAAAAGTCAACTCCCGGGCCCGCTTGGTCAAAACCCGAAATTCGGACCAAACCTCGATTACCCATTCACCCCCGAGCCCGGATATGCGACTTGTTTCGAAATCTGACCTCAATTCGAGGTCTAAATTCCAATTCTATAAAAATCCCTAATTCTACCCAAATCCCCAATTTCTACCATGAAAATCCTAGATTTAAGGTTGAAATCTTATGAAATGTAGTGAGAAATTGAAAGAAAGTAGATTAAGGTCACTTACCAAAGCAATTAGGAAGAAGAGCTCTTGGAAAAATCGCCTCTAAGGTTTTTAGGGTTGAAAATTTGAAAGAATGAACCAAAATCTCGTCTAACTCGGCTTTTGACCAGGCGTAGATGTCGCAAATGCGAGACATATTTCAAAATTACGAAAAAGCTCTACCTCTGCTATCATCGCATTTGCGATGATTTGTTCGCAAATGCGAATTGTGCCCCTTCACATATGTGACCTATCAATCGCAAATACGAGGAAGTGGTTCGCAAATGCGAACGTGACAGGAATTTTGACAATTCGCAAATGCGAACATTGACCTCGCAAATGCGAGATCAGAGGCTGCACCAGAACCAGATTCTCACCAGCTATTTTCTTAAGTCCAAACCACTCCGAAGCCTATCCGAAACTCACCCGAGCCCTCGAGGCTCCAAACCAAACATGCACAAAAGTCCAAAAATATCATATGAACTCGCTCGCGCGATCAAAATACCAAAATAACACCTAGAACTACGAATTTGACACCAAAACAAATAAATTTTTTAATGAAACTTAAGAACTATTTTACAACAGGACTTCTGAATCACGTCAAATCAACTTTGTTTTGAGCCAAATTTTGCAAACAAGTCATAAATACAATAATGAACCTATACCAAGCTCTGGAACTAAAATCCGGACCCGATAGCAATAAAGTTAAACTTCGATCAAATTTATAAATTCTTTAAACCTTTAAACTTTAAATTTTCAATAAATTTCGATAACTCGAGCTATGGACCTCCAAATTCAATTCCGGGCATACGCCCAAGTCTCAAATCATGATACGGACCTACCGGAATCGTCAAAATACGGGTCCGGGTCTGTTTGCTCAAAACGTTGATCGAAGTCAACTCAAATAAATTTTTAAGGCACGAATTCATATTTAAATTATTTTTTCACATAAAAGCCTTTCGAAAAAAGTCACAGACTCCGCACGTAAATTGAGGAAAGCTAAAAGGAGCTATTTGAGGTTTCGAGACACATAATTAAGGGTTAAAGCTCTAGATGACCTGTCGGGTCATCACATATCATATGTAAATATTAATCGATACAAATTACTCTTTGCAACCCCAAATCTTCGGCTGGGGTTTTTTCAGTCGTTGAAGCCTCAACTTACAGTAATCTCAAAAGCGGCAAATATGGCATTCTATGAAATACATTAAACTTTGTGAAGCATTAGACATAACTAATCTAAGATGAAGTTAAAGAAGAGAGAAAATGAGAGAGAAATTGAAGAAGATAGGTCAACGGACTCACTGCCTCAGGTGTTATATGGGTGAAGAAGTATGGCTCATGGTAGGCATGCCCTATACTCGGTCAAAGTTGCCCAAACATCCATTAGCCTAAAACATTTGGCAATAGCACATGCCTATCATGCACTATAGGTACTTTGTACTTCTTTTTCGATCGTTCGAGTTACAATTTGTGTTAATTTAGTTCCGGGCGGTGTTCACTGGTTGAGTTTTTTCTCTCATTCATGTTGGAGAGAATGTGAAGGACACCTGCCACTTGTCAAGTAAAGAAACGCCTCATTAAGTATCGCTTGACACGTGAGATACAAAATAAAATTTCTCTTCATGTTTCAGGAAAAGAAGAACTCCGAACAAATCCAACTTATCAATTTTGACTTAAGAGGCAGTTAGGTAGTCGTATCTGTTGATTTTATTTATTCGCGAAATCCACAGCTTTCAATCATTATTACTAGGACGAGAAAAAAGGAATCGTCTGACCAAAAATACAAATCCAATATGTCTGTCTTAATTTAGTTATTGCAAAACAATATTCCTCTAAGTACACTAATGATTACTAAATAAAGTTGTCCATCTTTCTATGAGAATAAAGGGGGAGAAGGAAACAAAAAATTAAAAACATAAAAGCAGATAGTAAACACAAAGAAATAATTACTACTACTAATTATGTCTCTTCTCCTTTTCGCTACAAAAATCCTGGCACTAAGCATACTCTCTCCAGTTTATTATTGAAGATAACTTCAAGATCAGTGAGTTACAAAGGGAAATAATTTACATCATTATAGACCAAGAAAAAACCAATTGGACTGCACTATAGAGCTAAAAATCCAAAACCTATACCAGAGCCAACATCCACTCAAATCAACTTGAATTAATGTGCTATTCCCGCTGCACTGTACATTAAATGGAAAATTTCATTTTCATATGATCAGTTACTAGATCTCCTTAAGAATGCTATTACGCCTAAACCTGCAACTAATGCCGCACCAGCTGCTACAGCGCTGTAAGCTGAAGCCCATGCAGATTCTGTATGAGCATAATCCAAATTGTTGGAGCTTGAACCCTTCCTACGGCCACGCTTTCCTGAATAGTCTAAGTGCAATCTTAGTCCCTGTAGAAGTTGATTTTCTCTCATCAATCCGTATTTTATATACCAGAAAGGAGGAGGAATATAACAATATCTGATTGTATCAAGTTACTTATAAGCAATACTAATCTAAGGAAATACCACTAGAAGAGATCAAACTCCGCTTATGATGAATCCCCCGATGTATTGGTGGTGGATATATATAGGGGCGGAGGCACCTCAGGCCAAGCAATGTCACGTGACTGCTTCGCTGGAAAGTGTTGTTGGAAATATAACTAATTTCATATAAAAAATTACACCACTTGACTGTCAGTGTTCATAGTCCAACTGGTTCAGCGGGTTATTTTATCAAATGAAAGTCGGGGGATCAAGTCTGTCAAAACACACTTTTTTCCTTTTTGTGCTTTCATTTATTTCATTTGTCTAAATGATAGTGTTTTCATTTGTTAGAATGGCAGCGTCTAGTAGAGATGAACCTGCGACCACCTAAGGAGGCCAAGGACAGAAAAATCAGTGGACTAGAGCTGCCAGTACATGGAAGAAGTGTTAAAATATTACGTACTAGTTAATATAGCTATTATGAATTCACCTTAAAAAAGAAAAACTTGTCAAAAAGGCCGTATTAATGTACTTAAATTATATTTCATTGATATGATTTGAATGTGTTTTCTTAATATGATGTTGTTATAATGATTTTTTATTTGTTTCTGACATTGCTTGCCAGGGATCCTGCTTACGCCACTGACTGTATCTTGAATTGTGAAGTATTATGCTTTGATTTTTGAACGCATAAGCGGTGTAAAGGAGTACATCTGTTGAGCTACCAAAGAAGTGAAAACGACTTGGGAAATTTCCAGCACAAGTATTCAATTATTAGTTCGGACTTGTTTAGTATTAAATTGGATCCAAAACAAAAAGTTCTTAATCGAAGATCTAACCGTATCTTCTAGATAGTTACTCTTAATTTGGACAAATTAAATCATGTTATAGAACCAAGAACCAGTCGATCATACCTTCCAACCTGCAGATCTTGCATGGTCGACGGCAGCTGTGAGATCGCTCTCTGTTGCTAATACAACCTTGTCATGGTCTTCATCTTCATACTGCAAGAGAGCATCGCCAATGAATATTATAGCAGTCATCTTGTTCGTACAAGGGAATAAAGTAAGGATAAACATGTCCATGTAGAACCAAATTGATTCCTACCAGAATTTGAGGAAGGTTCTTTCGGTCGATGTCATCCCCCACTCTCTGAATAATTGCAGTTAGAAGATCTGTCATGCTCCGAATATCTGAATCAGGGAAACAGTAAGGCCACCATGGGAGTGGAAACATGATTAACTGCTGATTATGATGGAGAATAAACAGAATACTCACATCATATCAATTTCCTTATTATTATGTTTTAGGTGGCAATATGCACACTTCCAATGACTCTCTTTAACAACAGAAACATGAATAAACAAGAATACTGCTAAATATACAATGATTGATGGAAATTTCAACAGTACCAACTCAAGGAGGAGCAAAGAAGAAAAGGAGTTGATATGCAAAAGATAATAGCACACCTGGAACTCCCATAAAATTGAAAGGAGTCAGAAGCATAATAGTTCAGAAGACAAGTCTCAAGATGCATGAAACGTTAAAGAACTCCCATTTCTTGTGAATATGGAAGCAATATACTTAAGGCCTATATGGCAAGTGTTCTTATCATGGAAGCAATGTTAATTGCAAGATACATGAAGCCTCACATGACAAGTACTTATTGTTTTTATTAAGTTACAAACTGCTCGCAACGAACATACCGCAGTTGAATCTGTGCATCCTCCCTGTTCTGTCTTGAATCTTGAATGCAAAAGTATTTGGAAGGCTCGATGAAGGATAGGAAATAGATCTCCTCAATTCTGCCCCTTCAGAAGCCAATTTCAAGGAACCAATGCTGAGATGTCATATAAATGGATGTTAGAATTAATAATAAAGCAATAAAATATGATTTAACAGAGGTAATAGGGAAAGTAAGATTATAACCTCCGTGTCTCTTCCTCCTCATCTGGGGACAATTCCATAGCTGAATCCCAAAACTTTTGCATCCTAGTGTTTGCAACTTCGCTATTCACCCCAGCAGTATTTCCCACCTAGTTAGCAAGGAGTAGTTAATTCTATACAAGCTAGGGGAGCAAGAAGACTTGCAATGCTACGCGTAGGCATAATGTTATTATCCCTTAAATATTAAAAGTACAGCAAGATTATGATCCAATTTTAACAATAATGAGATTTTATAAGAAACTTTGATGCTCAAATGATATTTATATTTGCAAACTGTATCACAAGAAAGTAACATTCTAATTATGGTTTAGTCGGTTAAGGAAACAAGACAGATAAAAGATCACATCTCTAGTAAATTTTAGATGTACTTCCTTCTTCCTTAAACCAATAAAGTAAGTCCACCAATTAATATTTGTACGATGAAAATAAAAGTGGACTCAGAACCCAAAAACATTTTCAACCGAACACATTCTGCAGAGAGCAAAGATTGGAGGAGTGCTGGAGAAAGGATGGGCTTGACATATTCACCATCTGAAATCAAAGAAAGTTGAATATAGTAGCACCATATCCAGAAAGGCTGTAATCACTTGCAAGAATATTGGTAATATCCTCAAGCAGATAGAATTGGTGAATCAGGACCAAGCTTAGTTCTATATTTCAACATAATTAAATGAACTCCATTTATTTATATCCGCAAATAGGAACAAAACTAACAGAACATCAGACTTGCCTTAAGAAACCAGTCTTGATAAACCCATCTCATGGAGTCCAATATATGTTTTTGGGATCTACATGGTTATGTGGCATGCTCATCAAAGTAGTTAAATCCTTGTAAGGTTTACTTTCTTCGGTTTTGTCTTTTCTGGGGAGGGGAAGAAGTAAATAGAACTAGCAGAATTCAAACAGGCAGATATATGCAAGACGGTCAGAAGAGATCGACCAACAGAATGTTAGCCAGAAACATCAGTTGGTTATGTTGAGCTTCACAAAAGACGCAATAAGAAAACCACAAACAATTTTCTCAGATGCCTCTGAGGCCAAATGTTGATTGTTGTTGTTCCTAGTTGGGTTATCTAAAACATAATTTTTCTTCCTATTTTCAAATTATATGCTTCTTTTTCAAATACTGTTCCAATTTTATGGGATGTCCCCCAAGGGACTTCTTATAGATGTCCCCCAAGGAACTTCTTATAGAAAAATTGTGATTTGTATGTTGTTTAGGTCCAATGCCTAGAACTTTCAGATTGAACTAGCCATAGTCACATATTTTGTAATTTTCACTCTTCAATCAGATTGTAACATGACGACCTGTTTAGCAACTTGACATTAAGATTTGCAACTTCCAATCAGAGGCGGAGCTAGGATTTGAAGTTTATGGTTCTGAACTAGCCACTGAACCTATAGCTCGTTTTGTTACTGGATTCCTAGTTAAATATTTATACAGGGTCTAAGCAAAAGTTATTGGGTTCGTCTGAACTTGTAGCGGATGCTCTAGCTCCGCCATTTCTTCCAATATATAATAGTTAACGTTTTCCCATTCACAATCAATTGTGAATGCATTCTCCTAATATCATGGCTTTAATGCAGTGCCGTGATCTTTAGAAACTTACTGATAGGCATTCCACGCAGCACATGGAAGCATGACAAAGCACACATAGATGAACTGCTAAAATAACTGGCTAGTCAATAATCTATGGACCACAGGGCTTCTTATGTTCTTCCTTTCCATTTTCCGCTGATATATACAGACATGACAAAGTGGTCAATACTTTCAGAAGCTTGTAAACTTCTTGAAAGAAGCTATAGATGCATGGTAACTACTTGGATTTGAGAAGTTCATCTGTCACCATAAAAGTAACATATCTGTATATGCTGCCTTACCGTGGCTACAGCTGCATGAGTGATATGAAGCACATCAACCACAGCAACTACAATTCCATCTGCAGCAAATTGATACACAAATGTAATCAGATCAGGGAAAAGAAGATAACCGCTTCCAAACTGTACTCTAAAAGGTCAATGCTACCTCTATCAACTACAGGAAGGTGTAAAAATTTCCCATCGTGCATTGTATGTAAAGCATCAACAATAGGTGTATCCGTCGTAGCACATTCAGGATTGGCAGTCATTACCTGGACATTAGTCATAAAATAAGACAAAAGTTGTCAAAGATCAAGTTTTTTCTCTAACCTAAACAAAGGAAGCAAAACTAAATAAGAAGCAATACTGATTCTCAATGTTTTTTATTTTAATTATAATAAACATATTGATATACTAAAGCGAAAGAGATTACCCTCTCAACAAGAATGGACTCGGGCGAAAGATCTTGTGCTATGACTCGCATCAATATGTCCTTTGAACTGCACAGATCACGAGGCAAATCTATGCGGTGATTAGCATGCCATTATGTACAGTTCGGAATTATTAACTGACTAACACAAGGGGAAAATACTCACGTTAAAATTCCTCGTGGTTTCTTGTCAACAGCCACGATTGCGGAGCTTGTTTGAGTTTCAAGCATCTTTTTAGCTGCGTCTAGAACAGTATCACTTGGTTCAACTGTAACAGTCCTGGAAACAACACACCAAATGGTGACTTGCAAAACATCTATCTTCTGTTATAGGTGAAAGACGTATTCGTTAGGAGGTTAAAAGTGAAGATATTACCTACTTTGGATTCTCAGAAATGATGGTAGAGAGTGAAGGCCGGAACATTCGCTCCCGAAGTGTTTCAATAAATGAATCAGAGCCACCTGATACAAACAAGAAAATATGAAAAAAGTTAACACATTTCACTAGCTAAGTCCAATCAGATACTGTCACTCAGTCACATGAACTGGGTAAAGTCAGCACATAAATAGTAACAGCAGAAAATGTTCGACCAACCAGAAATAGACGCTCCCCAGTTTTTTTCAACTCCCTCAACAGCAGCTACTATAGCCTTTCCTTTCTCTGCTGCCCTTTCAAGGCGAGCAATAGCATCATAAAGACATTTTGCTATGTCAAGCAAAGCAATGACCTCTCCATTTTCAACAACTGGCAAATGTCTAAATTTTCCTGAAGTGAGTAACAAAGGTGAGATGTTGGATAAGGTTGCAAGAAGTAAAACATTCTATTATTTCAGATACACCAACCTAGCACCATTTTCTGCAATGCTTCTACAGCAAGTGTGTCAGAAAGCACAAAAACAGGATGTTTCGTCATAACCTTTGAAACAGATGTTTCCTGAATATTGACTTCGCCCGCAATAACTCTTGTTGCAATATCCTTCAATTTTCCCGAAGATAGAAAAACAAAATGACAAAGGGAAAGTTAGTCAATGATATCATGTTCACGGTGAAAATGGAAAAATATTAGCGAAGAAGCAGATCTACATATCTTGAGTCTAATGAGGTTTAAAATAGGATTACACAAGATTCAGATCAAACCTTATCCGTCAAGATACCACATAGTAATGCATTTGAATCGGTCAGCAATAGAGCATCAACTCTGCGAGCAGCCATCCTGCGGCATGCTTCATAAATACTTGTAGTCTCAGGTACTGTCAAAGCTTTAGACAACCTAAGTCTCTTCACTGTCCGCTCTCCAGTCAGACCCCTGTTAAATGTTAGGGAGAAACTAATCATTTTAACTAAAAGGAAATATACAAGTGACTGTTCCCGCTCAGGTTGATTGTTAATAATCCAACACTGAACCTGACTGTATAATTTTAAGGTAGCATGACTATCTTCACTAACAAAATAATCTCTATGGCTTTGCATTTGAAAATTTTCTACTATATGGATTAAGATTTCAAGTTAAAAGAAGAGAAGATAATTAAATGACAAAAGAACCCTAAAAGTGAATAAAGCTGCATAGAAACGAATAAATTCGACCACCCAAAAAAGAACCCCTGATAAACTTACACAATAAGCAAAATCCTCTGACAACTTGCACACATGTAGTTCTAAAGAACGGCTACATGAAACAACAGAAGCAAACACCTACATTACATGTACTCGGTTTTGAGTTTTACAGATTGGCTGTAGCTTACAAGGTTACATTCAATTTGAAGCAGCTTTTCCATGTATTTTGGAAACTCTTAATGGAAGTACCATACCACCATCAGAGGTGTTTATCAAGGCAAATGAATTCCGGGTATAGACCTCCAAACTGGCGTTTACCAGCTGCAATATCAACTATATGCAATTCCAAATATACTTGATTCAACCGGATCATTGTTTAGTTTTTCATTGTCCTTAATTCCTAATAAGCTCTTCTTTCCCTTCATCCAGTTCGAATTGCACCACAAGCTCATTTCTGACTTCAATGTTCAAGTTGGTGAAAAAATGATCATCAAGAGAAGTACACCTTTCGGGACACATTAGAATTTTAACCAATATTCTAGTTCACACTTTAATCATTTCGCCGTAGTGGCAGGACAAACTTCTCCAACATTATCAATATCACTAATATGCGGACACTAAGCAATAACCATCAGCTCCCAAATTCACTTGCACATGGTCATATTGTCTCACTATGAGTCTATGCTCTTTGGCAATTGGCGCCAACTTAATAGACTTACATACACACAGATAAATACATGCATTCTGTTCAACTATATATGGTTCAAGCAGAGGACAGATACTCCAATACTACAGAGGCCCCTGATTATCTCCACAACCTAAAGGAGAAATGTACCTAAATTTCTATGACCTTCAGGGTAATGCACCTCAATGTTCGATAACAAAATAAATCGATTCGACAAAAAGAGAAAGAAAGAAAGAAAGAAAGATATCCTCGACTCACATAAACATCTTTGCATGTAAGTTTTACGAAACAAAGCCTCGTGATATATTCAATTTAAAGCGCATAAAAATGTTAGGGAATAAAAAATTAAAAAATGAATAAGCAGGGAAAGAAAAACGGACATGGAACGAGAAGAAGGTAGAGATTTGCGATGAGGAGAAACAGGGAGTCCTCCTGCAGTATCGACGCCGCCTGTTTTCTTCTTCGAATGGGAGGATAAGCTTGTCATTGACAAGCTTCTCCTCGACGGCGTTCCTCCTCCTACACTCGTTGCCATCTGATGTATTCATCATACAAAAATCATCAAATTAATACTACGAATTTCGAAATTCAACATGCAAAATAATGAGAACCAAAAATCATTAAATTTTTACAATAATAGAGTTGATAACGATTAATGGAAAATGACGAGTGGACGTGGAAGGGAAGATTTCCAGGAAAATTCTTCAGGTGAATTTCCCGGGAAAGAGAAAATTAAGAGGTAGAGAGAATGATGGATATGTGTTTTGAGATTAAAATTGAATGGAATGTGTGTTTGGCGGATGCCGTGTTCTTAGAGGTTTTGGCCGATGAGGTTATTCCACATCAGCCTCGGGAATGTAATTTCCAATTTCACTGGAGGCAGTGACACGTTTATATTACTTATATTTTGTATGCTTATGATACCCCATGTCTTATAATGCAATATTGGACACCTTTCAAGCTAGAGGAAAACGATGAGAAAAAATGTCATATGGACTTTTTAAAAAAAAAGAAAAGAACTTCTCTAAACGTACTTTTTCCAAATCCAATTTTAATGCCAATTAAACATTAAAAATAATCTCATATGTCACCAAAGCTGAAAATAATCCAAAACATAATTTCAAAAAGTAAAAGCAATTGCACAGAAAATTTTCCATTAAAGTGGGAAAAGAATCATTACTTATGAGCAGAAGATAGTTTCCTTTAAAAGTATTTCGATACGCAAATATGTCAACAAAATAGTAGGCTTTTCCCCTTACTGTATGCAGCTGCATTTTGTGTTCCTTTTGAAATGAGTTATCTTGTTCCGTTGTATTCAGTTCTTTAATTTATAACAAACATGCGAAAGAGCATCAACGAATGAAAGATGCTTTGCTCTCCATCTTAAGGCTTTTCGCATTGTTTATCTTAAAATAAGTAACAATTAAATTTGTACGCGATTTAAAGGATACGTAATTTAATTTAACACGGATGATCTATGAACAGAAAATAATTAAAGTAAAGAGAAATGAAACGGTCACACCAAACGTGATGGACAATTAAGCCTCGCTTTTGGATGAATACTGAAAATTGACCTCGGTCGAGCTCTCGAGACGGGCTCAGTTGCAACTAAATAAATAAGCACCTAAAGAACACTATGAACAGTGGCTAGAGAACAAAAATAAACTTTTATTGCTTTGATATGCATGCCAACAGTGGTTTTCAAATGAAAAGGTTCTCCTTTTTATGTAGTAGGAGAGTTTCAATCCCAATACAAGTCTAAAAAAGGTAAAAAAAAAATATTCTTCATCCAGTAAATGTTGATCTGTAGTTGATATCCGTCGGGGTTCGCGCCATAACATCCGGTTGAGGGCGGATATTACGGCTCTCCACTTATCATGCCTAACCGTTTTTTCCCTTAGTCTCGGACCTTCACTCTGCTCGGATCCGATGCTCATCCATTTCCAGTCCCTGCTGCACCATTCATCCTCTCCGGGCTCTGAGACGTGGAACCCATCGGCTTTACTCGAGGTCATGCCAGATCGTGCTTCCCTCTCGTTTCTTTACCGGAAAAATCGGGGGTAACTTTATCCTCAATTTTACCCATACACATATAGTCCCCTCACTTTTCGGAGAGCAAATTTATCGAAACGACGAGAAGTGATTAATCGACCTCGTTTCCTTCCTCCGTATGTTACAATCGGGTCGACGAGTCAGTGAAATGTCCCATCAGTTGCGTCATTCTGACTTCGGACATGTGTTAGCCGCCGGTTGACCATCCTCGAATGCAAAACGTCACTCATTAATTACCTCCCTCCTATAAAAGCTCCGGTTCTTTTTTCACTTTTTTACTTTTCGATTTCAAATCTTCTTAAGTTACCCCTGAACTTTTTACTTGCTCATAATTCCTTCAAATCTTCATACATTGTTCTTCACATCTTTATTTCTTCATCTCCCATCTTCAAATCTTCATATTTTATCTTTGAATCTTCACGTTTGACCTTCAAATCTTCATACTCTTCTTCAAACCTTCATATTCGCCTTCAAACATTCATATTTCCAGAATTCGATAGCAAAAACCTCAAAATCCGTGCCTCAGAATACCACCCCTTCAACTGCCACTGCGGCCGCTGACATCGAAAAGTGACCTTATCGACAGTGGACCCGGAACCTCCCCTTAAGGACTTTGTTCCCGGAGGCTACTCCATAGACAACAATTTTAAGGTCAGAAGGCCTACAAACAAGGGGATCGTGGTGAGGAGGTGTGGAGGTACATCTGCTCTATCACGGAAGACACGCTCCCGACGGTCCGGGAGGACTGCAAGTGGGAAGGCAAGGAAATAGTCATCCCCGGTCCCGATGAGGACATCACTACTCATGTGAAGGGGTACTTGAGCGTTTACACATACCCCTTCAAACTTGACCCGGTGACCCGGTGGTCCTCGACTTTTGTAAACGGTACGAGGTCTGCCTCGGGCAGATCCATCCATCTTTATGGAGCATTGTGATTCTCCTCCGTCACTTTGTTAATAACACGGAGGAGCACCGATTCACTATCAATCACCTACTCCATATCTACGGCCCCCGAATCTTTCGAGGGGGGTTGATCAAGCTTGACTGACGGGCAAAGAAGGCCCCCTTCTCGAGCATCGACGAAGACAGGGATCGAGGCTGGCAGGGGAGATTCATTCGGGTGAAGATCGAGTATGTCATTCCCTCTGATTTCCTGTTGTTCCCTGAGAAGTGGAACTCAAAACGTAAGTTCGTCTCCTCTTAAGTAATTAAAATAGTTCTTTGATTTTATTATTTTTTTCTCATCGCCTGATTTTCCCATTGTGCAGCAGTTGCCCGAGTCCCGAATGCAGTCCCCCATTTCAAGGAGTAGGTCGACGGGATCTGCAAGCAATCGATGTACTCCGAGTGCGAGTGGCGCAAACACTCAAAAGGAAAGTGGGAGGCCCGTTCCCATGGTGAGTGTCCTTCTTTCCCCGATTGAATTTCCCTTTTGTTCTACTGTTGTTCTTACTAAATCCCTTTCTCCCTTCTACAGATTTGCCCAAGACCACTGAGCTTCGGGTAGTGGACGAGAACAAGGCCTCTATGAAGAAGGAAGAGAAAGAAAGAATGAGGGGGTCTTTCGGCTCCCCGGATGCGGAAGCCGATGCCAAGAAAAAGAGGGTCAATGTCTGGGTCCGAAAGAGCAGCTAAAAGAGTACTCGGGCCAGGGAACTGGACCCTAATTCCCTTTACCGACTCAAGGACTACCCCGAAGATGATGGCTTGGATTTTATCTCTCATGAGCTGGCCATTGCTGTAGAAGAACGGGCAGAGCCAGAGGGAAGTGACCATAAGGCCAAACCTTCTTCAGCTCGAGATCTCGAGGGAAAGCCTGTGGCTACGGCCTCTCGAGAAACTACTCCGGCTTCGAGAGAAGCCACTGATGTCATTGATATCCCAGAGTCACCATCTCACATGGAGTCTCTATTTGACGAGGCCCAAGCCATTAAAGAAACGCCAATCGAGACATAAGCTGAGGCCCTCAACCTGTTCTTCGAAGGCATAGACATTGGTGTACTGGAGGAATACACCGGGTTTGGCCACTTGTAGATCCCGAAAAAGGACGTGTTGCCGGAGTCAGGTGGGCCGAGATCGAGCCCAAAGCTGGTGAAGCAGTTCCCCACCCCGAGCGTGAATCCCGACCATAAGAGAACAATCATGTTTACGATCCCGACAGATACCAGGGTGCTGTCCGGGCCGGTTAGCATAACCAGCTACCTTTGTTGCTTGGTGACCGAAGAGGACCATGCGAAGATTAACGAAGTGGATGCGCCGAGCCTTTTCAACGAGGCCCAATAGGTGTCGAACATGGTATGTTTTCCTTTCTTTATATCCCTTAAAGGGTTCATTAAGCCCTAGCATATTCTCATGATTTCATCAATTTTGTTCCCCAAGCCTCAGTGCTTCATCATTAAGCTTCCATCAGTCTCGAATGGAGGCGAGTCATCTCGAGTTCGAGCTCAAGGAGCAGGTCCGGCAAAGGACATGTACAAAGCTCTCAGTGAGCAAAGGTAAGGGTGAAACGGAGCTGGAAAAAGCTCAAAAGGAGACCTCTTCATTGAAACGGGAGAATGTCGTTCTGGTCGAAAAGGTAAGGGTGTTTGAGATTAATAAAGAGAGGCTAAGCACAACTGCTAATGCCACAACCTCGCAGGTCTAAGAGAAAATAAACCTGATCGACCAACTCCGAGCCATAATGAACGAAGTCAAAGCCTCGGCAGAGGCGTTGAGGAGCAAGATGGATCTCCTGGCCTCGGAAAAGGAAGCCACCAAAGAGGATTCGGCATCGGCCAAGGACCAGCTCCGGGTGATGAAGGATAAAGCCGATAAATGGTTTCGGTTGAATGATGAGCAATAAGCACAATTGGACTCGGCCATCTCAGAACGGGATGCCCTTGCCCGGGAGTACACCACACTGAAGTCCAAGTTAGAGGAAGCTTCGAATGCGTCCTCTGAGGTCCAGGATATGCTGGCCCAATATAAGAATGATGTGGAGGTGGCCGAGGCCCATATAATAACAAAGGACGAGTATGTAAAGTGGCTATCTCGGAGGGAGAACGTCGAGGAGATTAAAGAGGCGAATAGGCCGAGTCCAAAGAGATATACAAGCCCGAGGGCTCGGGCAGCGAGTCAGGCTCCGGCAAAGACTAGGCGGAAAATTCCTTAGTTTATTTTTTGTATTCCTTTGTACATTTTGTTTTATTTTGGGGCCGCTTCATAGTGCCTCGGTAAATACTTTCGATATATATAGTAAATTTTCTTTCGGCTATAATGTGTCCTTTACTTTTCAGCGTTTGCTTATAACCTTTTGTTTAAAATATGCCATCGATGCCTTAGCATAGAATTTGGCATAACTTAGACTCTTCATTCCCCCAAAGCTCAGATGAGGCCAGGTTTAAGTAACAACTCCGTGTTGATTTGACTTCGGAATATCGATAAAAAATGAAGTCTTTAAAATACTTGAATATTTTAACCGGACATGATTATTGTTTGCCAAAGGTGGCTCTTTTTATGGCCGGGTCTGAAGTATTCTTTCATAGGTTTCAATCATGTGTAAGGACCTTATATTCTATGTACGGACTCAAACGTCTCCGATCCTTTTTATGTTGGCAGTAGCCTTTCATGTTTAGGTCCTGCCTAATAGGCTCGGTGCCTCTGGGATTTGGTAGCCCGAGTTGTCCGATCTTATTATCGGATTGCATTCCCCGATTCGGGGAGGCCCGTGGGCTTTAGGGGTTCGAACCTACTATTTATTCTAAGTAACTTAACGATA